TATATTTGAATTTTTTATTTATGAAAGAAGATAGATTCTATTTCGTTTGGTGGCATCTTATTGTTAAGAAACAAAAACTTATATAGAGAATTGGAATATTCTTTATTTTTATCTAACCATTATTTCATCAGTGTAGGAATACAATAAATCTATTATCTAACAAGGCAGAGGGCATTACGTACAGATATATAAGTGTGATGAAGGAGCAATGGAGATGTACTTGTACTATGAAAGATTATTAGAAAAAATAATTCGAACTAACATTTTAGACATACTTGCATCCTCTTATCTTTCGAAATTCACATTTCTTTTTTTGTAATTATTATACTTAACATCTGAATATATTCGTATAAGTAATGAATGTTGTATAGGCATTTTTGTTATGCCAAAATAGGTGATTATCACGTTGATCTATCAAACAATTCGTTTCTGAGTTTAGTAGTGCATAATCCGATTGATCAAAATAAAAAACATTTGTTGTAATGATGTGAAGAGAAAAGTAATAATTTATTCTTTTTCTTACGTTCAACGAAAAAAGAAAGGACATCGTCCGAGGACATTCCTGACTATATTTGTATATGTATCTCCTTATTTTCTTTTCTTTCCTTCATATTCTTTGATATAACAGTGTGATTTGAACATCATACAGAGAGAACAGCAGCAACAATACTCGTCCAGCTTGCTATTGTATTCACAATAAAATAAATACTGAAGCGGTGACGAAACAACTTTATCTTTTTTTCGTCAAACGGTAAAGAAAGTGTGCACGGGTGAGAGAAAGTAATCCTTGTTTTTTTTCGTATGTGTATATTCGATATATTATTTCAACATATACAAAAGAAAAAAGAATTACGTATTTATTCACTTTGATAGAGTGATTGGTACTTTTTACTACATATTTTCGTTGTATTATAGATAGTGCAAGAATATCAATGGCGAATAAGTTGAATGAAAGTGATTATGATCAAAACTCGTTGGCAGAAAAATTTATCGCAGTTAAAGGTTTAAATTCCAATGATTCTCTGGACAAACATAGTGTAATGGTAAATTTTGATGCTGATAATATTCTTACTCTTATTAAACGTGGTTTATCTCATGTTAAACTTAATTTTCCAGTCGAATGTGCATTAGATGTTGGTTGCGGAGCAGGAAATATGTCTCGACTTTTAATTAAAGAAAAACTTGCAGAATATGTCGTTGGGGTGGATAAATCTCAAGATATGCTCAAATATGCTAAAGCAGGTTCCATTGATGACACCGTACACTATAACTATGTGAATGCTAATGTCGCTACTGACGATTTATTAACTATTGTTGGTAAAAAAGTTCCACTGATAGTGCAAACATATATGCTGAATCATGCAGAAACGAGCGATCAATTATTACATATTCTTTTCAATATCGCTAAAGTTAGTTGCGGACTTTTCGTTGGTATGATTCCAAATCCTAATAGAGATTATGCAAGTGATGCTGTCAAAAAGTTAATCAAATACGGTATTAAATTTACTGTACCTGAAGAAAAAGAATCCTTCGAAGATGGAATGTCTTATCAAATTACATTCGGACATGGTACACCACAAGAAGTTACACTCGTTGATCATTGGTACAGCACATCAACCTATGAGAAGATGTTCGAACAAGCTGGATTTAAATTTCTGGAATGGGTTCCTGTTGAAGCTATTAGAAACAAAGATAATGCTTATTTAATTGATTTAATACAGTGCAAATCGGTTATTGGATACATTGCTAGAAAGATGTGAATGTAGTTTTATCTTGTTTACTGCCTTGTAAATTAACAGGTAGCTCTTTTTTACATTTAGCTTGAAGACTAAATAAACATACAGGTTATTGGTATAAATCTCTGTCGATTGTCTTACATAAAAGATCAAATCACATTATTTTTTTACAATTTTCTTCAGTTCCCCTGAGAGATAATTATTTTCAATAAGATATGTGGTATTCGACTCAATTTTTGGTTCTGATTTGAAATATCACATATATTTTGGTCATCAATGAAATCTTGTGACGATTAGAATAATACATAGAAGTTGCAAAAATATTTTTCAACAAAAGACTAGATAAATTTGGGAGAGCAAGATTTTTTCATAGATCGAATCAGTCTTGCTGAGAGATATATGAACGATGAAATATTCTTCAATTCACATATTTCTACTCACTTTTCAAAGAGTTGCCATTGTTCTAATTGGATGAAATCCTGAATTTTCTTGAAAAAATGATGAGAAGATCAATTGTTTTATTATGAATATTTCGAAAATTTCTGAGGTAATGTACAACCAAAAAAATGTCCTTATTAATACTTATTAAGAATTGCTGATGCGGTATAGAAAGCAGTTTTACGTCACTGATGTTTAATAACTTTTTTCAATTTATATCGATGCTAGTTTTCCTATTTTAAAGTTTATCATTTAGTTAAGTATATACTGCTACTCGAAATAATAACAAGTTTTTTCTGAAATAACACAAAATACGTCGATAGAGAAAAAGGAAATTGAACATTTTGAGAATATTGCTTTTTCTTTTGGAGGAAACAATCTCTTGTAGATTTATATTATTTTTCTTTACTCCGTATATAGAAGTTGATATATTAACAGTAAGATATATTATTTTACAGTTGAGATACAAAAAATAATTTGTTCACTATTTTATTATATGAGAAAATTTTTCGCAGATATAATCTGATCATCAATATTATTTTTGACGAATCATTCTTAGTAGATTTTATCGACTGTGCATATTGAATCTGCAAGGAGATGGTATTCGAAACGGCATTTTACTTTTGGAGTTTTATGTCGATATTGGGACTTTCTATGACAGGTAATATTTTTGTATAATTTATTTTCATTTTATTATAAAACTAATATCTGAACGGTATGATTAAATTTCTTTTGAACCGTTTCAATAGTTTTCTTTTATACGCAAAATAAACAGGCGACATTAAAGTATTATTTGGCATCGTATTGAAAATATTCAGAAAACCTTTCTGACTTGTGTTATAGAAATTAGTTCATACAGATTTTATAGATATGAAATGATACTATAAGGTGAGTTGTTTATTTTACGTATGAGAATAAATTTTCGAGTGATTAAAAAGAAATTCAATCGTTCATTTTTTATACAGATTTTCACAACATATCTTTTGAAAAACAATTTTTACATTTTATTATTTATCTAAGCAAAGGTATATATATGAGATAAAATATATTACAACGCTATGGACCTCCAGTAGTAAAAAAATCTTTTTGTCTAATACATCTTTTCGCACTTCAAACTGCATTTATTGTTTGATAACAATATACCAGATGATGCATCGCGTTCTGATGAAAGATGGAGACACATCAAATAAGGGTAAGAGAATATATGTATAATCATCCGGATGAAAGAGAAAAAAATACAAAGGTGAGAGTACCGAAAATAGGAGAAATAAAATAATGCGTAGAATATCATGAACGTCATACCGAGAACACTAATAATTTCCTACTTATGTTTTTGAATTAATCATGTTTGTTCTAATCAAAATTTAGACTAATGAAACTATTTTAAAAACAGTTTCATTCAAATTACATTCTGTAATTATTTTTATTTATATGCCACTTCGAAAAAGATTGTTTTTTTTCCCAGAAAATATTAAATCGCATATTTTACCAGGTGCTTTCAAGCAACCAACACTTAAAGGATAAATATGAAAAATTATTTATGCACAGTAACTCACATGTTTGTGAAACGTGATCAAAACCTGATTTTCTCCAGTAAAACTCTCATGGAAAGTAATAAAGACAGAAAATGAGAAAGAAATGTCGACGAAGGAATAGTTGACTTCAAGTTTTCATACGATTTTACGACTGAACATCTTGCGGTTTACTCCTAGTTTTTTTGATTAAAGACATGAGCTGGTACCGATTTTTATAGTGGTAATTGAATTTAGTGTATTATTTCAGTATTGGTCGAAATTTTTTTCTGAATTATATGAAAAGAACAAATAACAGAAGATACTATCAGGTGTAGCATAATGGTTGTAAAATTTATTTTTGCGAATATCTTAACAAAGATCAAAAATGTATTTGATAGAAAAAAAATTATATTATGCGAATCCAGTCAGGACTTCTGATCTACTCTTTATTGCATACAGTCATATTAGAGAAAGATCTTTTTATGCAATGTTTGCTGCTGATGATTTTTCAAATTTTTTCATCTACTAACCATTTTATTTATTCATTACAGATGTTCCTTATAATCAACCAAAGTTTTGTTCATCAGCAACATGGAAGCCTAATGCAAAAACCTTTGCAGATAGTAGCACAATTGGTGTTAATCCATATGGTATATTTATCAATACCAAGAATACTATTTACGTAGCTGACAGGGAAGTCAACCGCGTCCAAATATGGTTCGAAGGCGATATGAATCCTACAAAAACATTCTATGGTGGTATGACCAGTCCATTTGGTATCTTTATTAGTGTTAATGATGATGTGTACGTTGACAATGGTAATTTAGGTGTAGTAGATAAATGGATTTGGAATTCAACAAGCAGCACAACTGCAATGTATGTTATGGGAATATGTCATGGTCTTTTTATCGATATTAGTAATAATCTTCATTGTTCTCTTGGTGACTTCAATATAGTCATCAAAAAATTATTGAACGACACTACAAATACTACGACTGTGGTTGTGGGAAATGGGACTAGTGGCTTAGAATCAAATATGCTTAACAATCCTCATGGCATCTTTATCGATGTTAACTTTAATTTGTATGTAGCAGATCGTGATAATCATAGAATTCAACTCTTTCAACCAGGAGAATTAAATGCAATAACAGTCGTAGGTGATGGATCATTAAATATTACGATTACACTTGCCTATCCAACTGGAATTGTTTTAGATGGTAATGGATATTTGTTTATTTCAGATACCAATAATAATCGTATTGTTGGATCAAGTTCTGATGGATATCGATGTATTGTTGGATGTGATGGTGGAAGTGGCTTAGGATCTAATCAACTGAATGCTCCATGGGGCATAAGTTTTGATAGTTATGGAAATTTATTTGTTGCTGATGCATATAATAATCGAATTCAAAAATTTATGTTGGCAACAAATTGTGGTGAGTACATTTATATCGTATTGGCAAACTCATATAGCCAAAATTGCTTCACTGTAGTTTGATTTCCTTGAGGGTACGCGAAAATAAAAGATGACTATAATTTGCGAATCTACATTCTCATTATGTGTGAATATGAACGTATGTAAATAGTGTACAAAATAAATTAATAAAAACTAATACTTCATATAAAGGGACAGATCTCATTTAAATTATATAATTATGAATGGAATCGAGAAATTGTATCATCATTTGATATTTCGATTGTAGGTCCTTCATATAATCAACCAAAATTTTGTTCATCAGCAACATGGAATCCCAACGCAACAAATTTTGCTAATAGTAGTACAGTTGGTGTTAATCCGTATGGTATATTTGTCAATACCAACAATACTATTTATGTAGCTGACAGGCAAGTCAAACGCGTCCAAATATGGTTCGAAGGCGATATGAATCCTGCAAAAACGTTATCTGGTGGTTTAACCAGTCCATTTGGTATCTTTGCTAGTGCCAATGGTGATGTTTACGTTGATAATGGCAATTCGCATGAAGTGGATAAATGGGCTTGGAACGCAACAAGTAGCACAACTGCAATGTATGTTATGGGAACATGTCATGGTCTTTTTATCGATACCAGTAATACTCTTTATTGTTCTCTTGGCGACTTTAATTTAGTCGTTAAAGAATTATTGAACGACACCACAGGTACTCAGATTACTGCTGCAGGAAATGGAACCAGTGGGTTAGAATCAAATATGCTTAACAATCCTCATGGCATCTTTATCGATATTAACTTTAATTTATATGTAGCAGATCATGATAATCATAGAATTCAACTCTTTCAAGCAGGAGAATTAAATGCAATAACAGTTGCAGGTGATGGATCATTAAATATTACAATTACACTCGCCTATCCAACTGGAATTATTTTAGATGGTAATGGATACTTGTTTATTTCAGATACTAATAATAATCGTATTGTTGGATCGAATTCTGATGGATATAGATGTATTGTTGGATGTGATGGTGTGAGTGGCTTAGGATCTAACCAGTTGAATGCTCCATGGGGCATTAGTTTTGATAGCTATGGAAATTTATTTGTTGCTGATGCATATAATAATCGAATTCAAAAATTTATATTGGCAACAAATTGTGGTGAGTTATTATTATTTTGAGAACTAGTCATATAAAACTAGAGTCCAGTGAAAAACTAACTTGTTTTCGAGAATTTAGCTTAGGCTAAGATACAATTTGATAGTGAAATTTCAGAATGCTAGCAAGTATGAAAACATTTTGTGTATTTTCCCGTTGACTTATATGTATTCTGTCCCATAATGATACGAAACTAAAACGCAACTATATGAATTAAAACAAACAGATTTTCTTTTAATTTATAACTATATATGCGACTATAAATTATTGTATTATATAGAACCCGAAACAACAACATTTGCTATAACAACTGCAAATATTGAAGAAGAAACTACTTATGATACAGGATCAACCATCAATGATGCAGTAGAAACTACTTATGGCACAGAGCAAACTACAGAGATCATACAAGGAACTACGGAAGACACACAGTCAGTTACGACCGCCGAGCAAGAAATTGATTATGACATGGAATCAACCATGAATGGCGCACTAGAAACTACATACGATATGCAATCAACTACGGATATTATGCAAGCGACTACTGATAATATAGAATCAACCGCAGAGATTCTAGAAGAGACCACTGATAATATACAATCAACTATGTATGCTGATCAAGGTACTACCTATGATATGGAG